GTAAATGATTTTGAGCTGAGACAGCCCTATTCAGAATCATTTTCTACAGTTGACAGTCACATAATTTTATGACATAAAATCCTGTTGTTTTGAGAGAAAGTTTTTCATGCTTGTTAGGAAACCTTCTGAGCCAGGCGCACGTGAATTTGTGCAGCCTATGACGCGCCACCTATGGGAGAGTCACCCAGACACGCATTACGTCATAAAACGGCACACGAGCACCCCGCCTCATTGGCTGTGCAGTGTTCACGGTCAAGAAAAATATGACCACCGACGATTTGTGTTTGCGGTGAGACAGCATCAAGTGTCTCAACGATAAAAGGCAACTGGGTAATAGTCAGATTTTACACTTGATGGGATAACCCCATCACGAACTGTGTCTTGCTATAATTAATCCAAGCATTTGGGCAACTACTAAATGAGATGAACATGTGGCTGATGGTCGAATAACTGAAGAATAAAATCCCAAAACGCACACCATGAGTTCGTTTACGTAAGTTGTTCAGAGCATTAGCGAGGAGCATTAGTCAGCAAGATAAGACAGTGGTGTTAGCTTTATTCCTCGGAAGAAACCAGGAGAATGGGGATATAGTTAGGCTAAATTGAAGTTGTGCAAATTTGTTAACCAGCCTTGGCATATTTTCGCGAATGGTGATTTCAAAAACTCGTTCATACGTCGCTCATATGTAAGCGTACTTTCTATACTCCAGGAAAGACGAGATTGGTCTAAATAAGCGTCAGCGTTGTCGTTCTAAAAATGCCTTCTTTTGAAAAGTTTCTGTGATTGCCTAGTTCAATGAAACCTTAGCAAAGTCAGCAGAGCGAGTTAATACCGCAGCATTATTGGAGGAAATACGCGCCACAGGCTTCAGTGCGTCTTCAATAAACCGTTGCACTAAGCTTTTCTTCCGCCGGGCAATTTAGAATTCAGTACTTAGTTAAGTTTTAGCTAGTTTGTCCGGCACCTTGAAAGTTTCAGCTAGCACTTTCTGGCGGCTACTATTCGGTTCGAAATGACGTAAGTTGTTGAGTGCGTTAGCGAGGAACCTTAGTCACATAGATAAGACAGTAGTATTAGCCTTATTCCTCGCCAAAAAACATGGGAGTTAGATATAGTTATGTTTAGTTATGTTTAAATTTATATAGTTTGTTTAACCTGACTATATCTCCATTCTACTGGTTTTTCCAAGGCATAAGGCTAATACTACTGTCTTGTCCATGAGCTCGTTTGATGAATTCACACATAAATCAAAAACGCCATCTTGTGGTTGTGTACAGCTACCACAAGAGACTCAGCTTTGCCATCGTATCTGATGCTTGGCTCAACAACTTGAAATGTAGTGCTCAGATGACATAAGTGCGCAGCTTCCTTATCTTAAAAACAGTTTTCAATAAGCTATTCATTAAAAAGAGTATGGAGATTTAGGCGGCACCAGCGATAGCTACTATGGTGTTGCATACCATGAATCGGTACAATAATGATGTGTTCAGGATTTGTTTGGCAATTCACAAGTTTGAGCATATTATAGGTGGCTGGTGTTCAACAGGTTACTCTGACTGCCCACTCCACCCTTGCGGGTGCTAGGGTGATACGCAAAAAAGAAGTGAGCCATGTCACTGGGACCACTGTTATGTTGACTTGGATCGCTTCCATGACAACGAAAGAAGTTCTACCGACTGCGCCACCACCTGTATCAAATTGTATGAAAACCAAGCGATGTTAGATCGGAAAGCGTGGGTCTCGCTGGAGTTTTGACGTTCCTATGTGTTCCCCCACCAAGATTAAAAGTTGTTAATATCAACTCTGCGAGTTTATTAGCACTCACTGCTGCGGCTCCGCGATATTTGAAAGGCCAGCGAATGATGCGAACCTGGAAGGCAATCAGCATTTGCCGCCGTGATTCGGAAAGCATCATTAATTTGATATTTCAATGAGGTGAGGTGCGAGCAGACTGCCGGAGTCCTACACCACGCGGCCGCGGAGCTCACGGCGACAGCGCAGCCGGAAAACTCTCCCATTGTATCACGCACCGAAGACAGCTGAGCCGTGCTTTGGGCGGTCCAGGCAGAGAGATTCTAGCTGGATGTCGCAGCGGCTCGACTACCGTGTGTGTTGCGAGCGCTATCCGGGGTTTGGCGGCGTGCACATGTTGCTCGTGCGTCGCGGGCACGCGGTTAGCACCATGACCATTGGCTCCCGCACTTATATAAATGTTTGTTTTTAGGAAATGTTTTCGCGACATGAGAGTTGATTTGTATTATATGTTTAGGGTCCATTAACCCCAAAGTTGATTACACAAACTGTGGAAAGGTCTGAATATCACACAAAGTTCACACTCCTCATGCACCATTTTGTGGCCATGATTACCACAGGTGTCGGTTTGTATTATTTTATGAGGCCCCCTTCCAATGTTTAGTTGGGACCCCCATGCTGGCTGGTGCCTCCGCAATGTCTTAGGCTGGAATGTTACAAGAGCGTAGAAAAAATAACGCAAACGTAGGCAAGCGTGAGCGTAAAAGTCAGTTAAACGCAGGCAATGACAGAAACATTATACTAATAGATTGTTCGTAATTTGTAATTGATGGATATGGCTTTGGCTTTGTATTCTCTAACTTCAAAGCCGCTCACTTCGGCTTCGTATTCGCGGGTAAAAGTTTCGAAGCCAACGACTTTTAATTCTGCTCTATTTTTTGCGTTGGCTTTGTGCTCACAGATCCAAACCTAAGAGCCATCGGCTTCAGCTCTTACTTAAACTTCATGTTGTTGCCTGGGCTTTGAGTTCGACTTCGCAGCTAGAAGACTGGCATTATCCGCACGCCTGACTTGGCCCATTTACTTATGCGAATGTGATTGTGCCTCATGTGACTTGAGCTGCTTTCAGAACGATCACCTGACACTTTTGAATGGTTCGTCATTTCGAAATGGTTCGGCGCCATTTTTAGTCCACGGGGCACGCCAAGCAGTGCTGGCCTGCAGAATCTCTACCATCGAACTACCGGACTGCGGAACGGAGCGTGACACCCGGAAGACACTCATGGCATGGCTGTGGTTCGTGATGACGCTGAAATGCAGCACACACACACGGGAGTTTGACCCCCGACGCATTCGTTTACCTTCGCATAATCCTATTCGTAACGTCTGCGGGGGTTTTGGAGCCCTCATGCAACACTTCCCTCTGAGCCCCCCCCCCCCCCCCCCCCTCATACTGACTTGAGCTTCCTTTATGCTTTCCTAAGCACCCTCACTGCAAGGAAGCAAATGGGGAGTACTAGACCGAATAAATATTGAACAACTATCTTAACTATTGGTATACTAGGCAGTAAACGGCTAAACACGTCACTATTGGTATCATGTTAATCGTGCACCAATTATTATCTTGCAGGTAACTTATGTTGTTGTCATACTAGCTCATTCATATGTTAAGCTGGTCTGTAAATGTGTCGCACGATTCGCAAATGAAAGGGCCTGGTTTGGGGTACAGACCATGATGCGGCAGCGTTTAAAAGTGCAGGATGGTTGGATAAAACCTAATGCATGTTTTCCCCAGCCGTCGGCAAATAAATATGTTGCCTAGCCGTGGCTGTGGTCGTTATGCAACACGATGAGCGACATCGGTAGTCATCAGCCATCTCTTATCAAAAGTTATCAAGGCATTTGTTTTGCGAATCACACCCCTATGTACGCTTTTCACAAACACCTGACCTCAACTTAAACTTGACACAACGTCTTGAAATGGGAAGTCATCAAAGTAAATCGTCAAAAGTCAAAGTCAATCAAAGACGTTGTGGCTTACACGGAGATAGATCGGGCCGTAAAAACTACGCAGTCATCAAGGTGAGGGGTCGTGCAGAACGTTCTGGTAATGGGTTTTATCGATCAACATGAAATAGCTGTGGTGAAACCATTGAGTAGCCATCGAGTTGACCTCTTTTAGCATTCATACGTTTATCACTGTCAACGTAACTTCGCGATGCCGTCTTACTTCTTCCGGCGTCGAAAGCTAGGCTTTCGATCGTCTTCACCTTGAAAGCATTGCCATAAGATCTGATAACTTGCGCCTTCAGTCGTCTTATGGATATATTTGAGCCAAACACAGCCACTTCATGGACATATCTGAGCCCACCACAGCCGTCTTATGGACATACCTGGGCCCACTTCAGCCGTGTTATGGACATATCTGAGCCCACTGTCTCAGAGACATCATATCTGAGACCACCACAGACGTTTCAAAGCTGTTAATCCATTGCTAGATTCTCATCTCCGAACGTTTTTAGCATATGTGGCCATCTCCAGGCAAGGCAAGCTCAGTTGTTTCGGAAGCACCGACCAAAGGTCAAATGTATCGCCCTAAGAGTGTAATTCGCCATCAGCCACTGACATTAAAACATGGCAAAAACCACCACATTGGTGCCTGAAACCATTCTGTTAACCTGTTATGCAGTGATTCGCATATAGTTATTAAACACGCGACGTCGCTTGTAAGCTGCCAGAAGACAATGTAAGGGGACAACCTTTTGCGAGCGGCTGAATAACGCAGCCGTTCAGCTCTCCAGCTTAAGCTGTTTGCAGCCTGGGCTTGCCTGATTTGCATAGCGTAAGCGCTTCACTGTTTCTCGACAGAGGTCTTAAAAGCCCGCTCGGCTTGATTCATTTATATTCCAAAGGACTATTTTGCATCACAGCGGTCTGTCTTAATTTCCAGCAATTGCTGCGCACCATTGCAATGCCCCTGACGGCTCGGGTGCGAAAACGTCCCGGCAAGGTGAGGGTTAAGGGGGTTGGGCATGCAGTCTCTCCCTTGGGGGCCAAGAACTCACTACATACTTGGCAATTCGCAGAGCCGTGGCCCAAATTGGCAGGATGTTGAAAACTTTGACACTTGTCCCCTCAGAAGTGACCTTCGGCAGCCTGAACATGACAACCCACGCCATCTGGTACCCCAAGACAGCCAGCAAACTCATGTCCAGGACAGCCAGCACCCCCCGCGCGCGGCACCTACCGACTGACGAGCGTTTGCCGGGGCCGACGCCGTACGCGTCGCACACCAGCAACAGCATGTTGATGAGCTCGGCGCCGCAGAAGTGGGAGGACCGCTTCTTGGCGAGCTGGGGTCGCAGCAGGTCGTGACCCTGCGTGCCGTGACACCAGAGGGCGACGAGCAGCAGGGACAGAGCTCCGCAGCGGATCACGGCCATCTGCGGCCGGCCAGGGGCGGCGTCACGCTCCAGTCAGCGTCGTGGAGGCCTGTGGTCCGGGTGGTGTCGGGGCTCTCCGCGGCAGGGTGAGGTCGGCAGCGGAGGATGTTCCAGTCTGCTCTGAGCGTGCCCCAGGAAAGAACGTGCACCTATCTGTCTGCTCGCTGTGATAGGTGTGGTATTCGCGAGCATGGGGCAAAGCCGAAATAAACGTTGAAGAACGTTCAGTCTGCTGGACATCTGGTGCTGGATACCGTGACTGCTTTGGGGGGAGGGGGGGGGGGGGGCTGAATCTACGGCTTTCCTTTAGAACGCCAAGATTCTATGCCAGGAACGCTGGAAACCTTAGCAAAACGGGTTAACTTTAAAAATCGTCTACATAATTTTGATATTTGCCAAGAACACGTACAGTCAGGTGTTTCGAAAGCTGTATACTGAACGAAACGGGCGATGGACAGCTCCTAAGACGACAGTAAAGGTGCTCCAACAGATTTCTCAACCCAAACATCCGCGATCAGTGTTTGATGACATTGCCCAGGTCTCCAGTGGCCCCGACTCCTGACCTGTCGGGGTCGGCGTACCTTGTGGAGCGGTCGACCGTCGCGCGCCGATGGTCGTTGTCGATCTTCCGTTGAGCGGCGCTGGGACATGGTTTTACGCGGCCGGCCTTTTATCCGACGACTGGGACGGCGGGACGGCGGCGCGTGCGCTTCGAGCACTCCAGCGACGGGCGTGTGGCGTTTCGTGCTACAGACCGACCTCTAAGCGCAGTGTGACCTCCCGCTGCAGTGTGAGCTGCCGACAACTTTGGACCCCATGCCATCGGTTTCGTCACGTCGCATATTCTGTCTGCAGAAGAGATGCAGACCATAAACGGAAGCATTTATTGCAGAGAAGTTGTAATTTGGGTGCGTGTGTTCGGATGTGTATCGGATGTAATGCGCGAGTAAAATATTTTAGATATGATACTGGTATGGAATATGATACCAGAACATATTTACAAGATGCGGAGAAAGCGACAATATTACCAAAGGTGTCAACAGGAGTGGGCAAGCAGTGTTTCATACCGTTCGCATCGAAACAAACAAACCTGCCCGGAGATTTGCATCCAGACCAACTGACAGTCCCGCGATGCGATGGGAAGGGCGTCACCTGTCATCTCCACACCAGAAACAGGCGCCCGAAAATCGCGTTCACCAGCCCCAGGAAGCACAACCAGGAACTGCCCCCCCCCCCCCCCCCCCCATCGACCCAGCGGAACGAAGGAAGCTAGTTCAGTCTGCCGGAAACCGTCACTGCCGGTCAAACGCGTCTACATGAATTGCTTACTGCATTTTTTTACTGTATTGTTGGTGGAACATGGGCTCAAGTCGAAAGCGCTCTGTGTTCGGCTACCTATGTAGAAGCATGCATTCCTCCGGTACGTGAGAGGTTCTTGTACCATTGTCGCATGACATTCAGCAAGGTCATCAACAACCCGGCTGGGCTTCATTTTCGGGGCCATCACGGAATTGATGTGCTTCCAGAACTGCCAATACGCGGGAAAGTATTGTGGGAGTGCCTTGGGCACGTAGAAAGTAGACGAAGGAAATATTTTTATTCGTGACCTGAAACCTTCCATAAACATAAACAGCTGCAGCTGACACTTATAAGGGTAGCCAAGAACACTCGTTCGGTACGTGCTTCAAAACACTGATTTGGGATGTCGTTGCTTGCACTTGTATGTCCATGTGTCATTATTTATGACTCTCTTGTGTTACTATTTGTTCGCCATGCCACTGTCATCGCGTGTTCCGTTGTTCATCGTGTATGAACTTTTCGGAAGGGCGATAAGGATCAACCCGTTAGAATGCCTTGGTGTACAAAACTTCACCTGAAATCATTCCCTAGCGGATCTAGCGGATGAAGTGCCTTATTTAGTAAAATATCTAGCCCCCCTGACTACGTCACCGGATGTCAGTTTCAATTAGCCTATAGACTGACCAACCGACACGCAACTTTTCTGTAAATTCGGTGCTAAGGGACCAAATCAAGTACCGCAAGAGTGAAGCGCGCAATAAACGCATTCTGACAACACAACGCTCAAGGATAGAACTTTACCGGCTGTTTCGAAGGGCCTAACGACATTACAAGGGCTTCGCCTCTGTTCATCCCGGCTTCCGGGACTTGATACCAAATTCGGTTCATATATAATCATCGGTTTCATAAGAGAACTAGTGATTATCAGTGGTTACGTACTGTAGTGAATGACACTGTTTCATCCTGTGTTTTTCTAATTCGTCGCTAGATCCCAGCCTTATGTTAAGATTATTAATGACGGATGCTGATGGACATGTCGGGACATCCGTCATGCGTGATCACGTATGCCGGCCCTATACACGTCACGCCGTCCAAATAAATCATTTTAATGGTGTCGTTATTTTCTTTGAGCAATATCCGTATGGTAGTAACAGACGTGGCGCAGAACAGTCCAGTTGCCAACACTCCGTTCGAGGGACATTCTGACGCCTTCGTCTCACACAAGTCGCCGCTCCAAAATCGCACCAATATCTTTTGGTTAACCGCAAAACCGTGAGACATCGATGGCTGCGGAATGTCGTATGCTGTGTTTTGCAGGCGTTACCTGCGCACCAACAGCGCGGAACCATTCTCTCAGAGACGAGGGTCCCAGAGCTGCGCCATTGCATCTGTTAAAACAATCCTGTGAGCAGTGATTGACAAAGACCAGGGTACGTGGTTAAAGCGAGGACAGCAGCTGAACATAATGTTGTCACCTCCACAAATACCGTCGCCTGCTTCTTTGTGAATCGCTTGCGAGGGAGCCCATTTCACGAACTTTTGGTTGGGACGCTAAATGTGTCCACAGTATGCAAAGACTGCTTATATGTCACGCCCTGTCCCAACGACCTACTTCCTTGTATTTCCATTTATTGGTTACAAGGAAAGTCCATCAAAATGCAAGGAATTTTCAACATCCATTACTCGCTGCAACGAACACATTTGCATCACATTAGTCAAAGAAAGCTGCTCAGATTGAGGAGGCCCATGCTGACAACCCCTGACATTTTACTTAGTTTGCATATCGCGATGGGATTAATGCAGCAAGGCATTTCGCCGCATCCATATTTCCGCGAACAGAACAAGCTGTAAATGTTGGCACAAATTCGACAGAAAACAAAATATGAGCATCGAAAACATGGGTTTGTGTTATTTCTTTCAGGGTTAGAAGCAATGCTGCTTTTCCTTGGTGAGCTTCAAATTTTCCTCGGGCGAAAGGTAAACTGAGATTTATCGGCTCGTTGAGATATCTGTTATTTACCTATCCCAGATGGGCCATTATCCGAGCGACGTTCGCTGTCGAAAACCATTATTAAAGCGTATTAGTTCTTATCTGACACAGTCCCAGAAACCACCAATGAAGGTGAAAAGCAACGGAAACTCAACTAGTAAACTAAGGTGTAATGTAGGCTGTAGCGTATTCACTACCAGGATAATTGTCAATGATTAGAGTCGCAATAATCTTACGGTCGTGCTAATGCTTAAGGCGTGGTAAGCAACGCCACTAAAAAACGCTAACGAAAGTGAATCTGCCAATTCGTTAAGTTTTTCGTTTGTTTTTCAGTGCCTGATTTAAATTTCCTAACCTTTTGAAAAGACGAGAATGACTGAATTGTATGTTTTGCCGTTCAATCGGATTTTTTGTAATCCGAATCCCATTAATCCGAATCCACCCTTATGGCGGAGGGCGCAAATAACCAATATGGTTGACGCCCTCTAAAACCAGAAATATGACAATTATTATATGGCGGATGTACTGGAATTCTAATTCGAATAGCCTGACCTGGATTTGAAGTGACCCAGACTCTTTCACGGAAATTTCGCGATTGTAATGTAGCGGAATTCCCATTACTAGGCAAATTTCATTCGTTTCTGTCTGGCTGTGCTCAACGCTTCAGCCAGTGGTACGTTTCTAACTTAGCCAAAAGGACAGAGGGAAACAATGGCTCTAGCCTATGCATTGTCGAAGTTTTGAGCTTTGATGGGACATGGGCTGTCATGGACTTCGCCATACCACACGTAGTAAAGAAGTCTGTGGCAAAACTAAGGACGCGATGGAGTGACATGGTATGACATGATGCGGAACCGCCTTCGCTTCAGTGCTGTTTTGTGCATAACGTATATTATTGACCAATCAATGAGCTAATAATCGTGATGGGCCTGAAATACTTGCAGTGGAAAACTTTGATACATGGGTACAGGGTTAAACCAGCAGTGGTTGGCATTGGCGATCTTATGGTCGCTAAAACTAGGCTTTAACACTCTGGTATTCCGGGGACTCGTTGCATAACACGCATTGGATAGGGGGCGTGGGCATTAAACTCGCCCGCCCCCCCCCCCCCTCCCTCCTACAACCTCAGGAGCCGCAAGTGTTTGTGCTACAAAACTTACAGTGTGAACTTGGGACACAAAATTTGGGGTGACTTCACGCACCATATAAGTTATTCCAAAAAACACTTGAGGCTAGGCATATGTTCATGCATATTTTTCAAGTCGAAATGGTGAATTTCAGAATTTGGCCGTGGTATTAAGACATGAAGTACAACGTCTTTATTCGAGCTGAGCTCCCATACCGGCAGGGGTGTAAAAGATTCACAACTGATTTATGAAAGCCTCGTTTTAGATTCAGTTCAATAAGTAGCAGAAAACTTGGTGTAAAAACTAAAGCTATGAAACCTTGGATGCATGTCAATTGTAATAGGCATCAGACCGGACAAATGTCGTGTCCCCAGTATCACATGACTATCCGACTACCGTGGGTGTCGTGCTAGTATCAGATACTGCAGTATCTGTGCAGCTGGCTTATATTGTCGCGCCGTCCCGCTCGTCTAAACGCTTTTTATTTAATATTTGCAATGTTGTGTTGCAATATGGGTACAGATATCAACAGCTGGCGAGTGCTTTGAAGAATTGAAATATGTCGTCCCGTTGGTATGTCGTCCTGTTTGTGCTCGCTTATGATCAATTAATGTCCACCATGTAATGTTAACTGTGTGCATGTACAGAAATGCTGGTAGGAAAAGTTGCAATTTTTTAATGTTTTCATAACGGGATAGCCATAACTTACAGCAAACAGCACAGTATATTAATTTGTATTTTCTATGCGTCTTCATGTGAAAGGCAACGGACCGGCGAGATGTTCATCATGCAAATGATATGACCAGCGATGATATCATGCTGCATATACCAGACCGTGAGCATATAATGTGTTTAAAACTCTGGCCGTAATCGGTGTGACTAACCGCCGCCATGTTAAATCTTTTTTCATCACGCGGCCTAATAAAGCTGTCGATGCGACCTCTTGCCGCTTCCGAACTAAAAGATAGAGCCTTGCCGTCAAAATGGGTGCGATAAATGCTATGCAGACTACCGAAATTTTGCGTGTGATTTCGTGATATGTTAGAGGGGTATCTTCTGAGATTGTTGGAGAGGGCATATTGACCCCCCCCCCCCCGCCTATCATGGCGAGGCTTAACACACCACCGTTTTGGGGTTTAATCAACCCAGCCTGATGTCTCCAGAACCAGTGGTCGACCTATAGTCAAATGGTTGGTCAACCAAACGCTTTTCGAAGGCCCTTTTCTGTCGCTTC